GCAAAACAGAAGCCAGAGCTTCTGTGTGAAACAGAAGCCAGAGCCAGCCGCTCATTTGCTCCCCTGGTTTGCAGGCAAAGGTCTTACGTCCCCATGCAGCCCAGCTCCTGTCTTTGCTCTTGATGTTCCAGCAGCGGTGAACTACATACCCTTCTCTTAACCCACCCTCTTCTGTGTTTCTCTTGGCTGTTTGTCACATTATCCGTGTGCCTACATGGACTCCTCTGTGCCACCTTCTCCCATGTGCTCAGAGCAGGTCGTACGTCCATCTATAACACTGCTCTGCAGGTAGGAGTAGAGGTACCTGTGCATCGTGTGGTTGAGTCCCTCGTGGGGGTTGAGCTCTGTGAAAGCAGGGCAGGAGCAAGGTCTCTAGGCCCTTCCTTCTCTGTTCCTGGCACAGAGCCTGGTATTTGTGGCACTGTATGCAGGCATCGTGTGGCGATAAAGCGTTTCCAATGTGCCAGGCCCTTGATAGGATTTCTCTGCAGCTTATGTGAAGCCCTTTGCACAGTGCGCAGCTGGCACCAGTAGCCATCAGTTCTTGTTAATAATGACGTGCACCAGGTCGCATCACTAGTGAGGGGCAGAGGTGACTTTGAACCCAGGTTTGTCTGGTAACAGAGCACTCTTTCTGACTCTGACTGATGCCCGTGGGCACCCCCCCCAGGGTGCCTGAGCCTTGAATAGCAAGGAAAACACCCACAGACAAAAAGCTCCCACAGGTGGGGTGCACCCATCACTCCCTGGCCTCCCTGAGCCCTCAGGAACAAGAGCCTTTTCAGCTGCTGGGCAAGGGCTGGCGTTTCCGATGAACGGCAGTGCCCGCCTCACCTGGGAATGATGCGTTTTCCAGGGGCTGACTTGAGTGCGGCCTGCTATGTTAACGCTATGTTAACGTATTCAGTAGCCAATTCCCATATAAGTTTGGTTGAACAACAACAAAAAAAATGTATTTTTTTATTAAGGCTGGAAGAGTTAGTAAAAATATGTGAAGCTTTTCTGGACATCAGACTGTTATACTCAGTGGGTAATATTTAGAAGTAAATACATCAAATTAGATTCTTGAGTATGAGGCTGGGTCTGGCGACATCCGTCTTTAGTGCTGTGCTGTCCGCTATGAGAGAACCTTGCAACAGAATTTATTTTGAAGAAGATTATTAAACATACATGATTGAATATGTTTTTACAGACCTCTGGGAGAAGATTTAAATTCTCTATTTTCCTTATTATTTCTCCCTCCTCTCCTCTCCCCGTCCCCCACCCATGAAAGAAATAGATTTACAACACAAGGGAATCACTGTCAGATATGTTGCATTCGTTCCACTCCCGGGCTTTCGGGTGCCTTTGAGAAGGCAGAGGATCCGGATTTAGCCTTTTCCCTTCCAATCTGTCTAAACAAAATCAGGTTCTAGCATCAGCTGACAAGCCAAGGTATCGCATCCAATCCAATCTCCCCAGGGCCCTCCCACTTTTTCTTAGTGGCCATTTTTCAGCGAAACCTCATTGCGCATGTGTGTTGCTGGCCTTGGCCGCATGGTGTCTCAGTATTCCGGCTCTGGAATGCTAACTAAACTCTGCTCTCTGGCATTCGCAGAAAGCCGGCCGGGGGTATGAGGGCTGGTGGTGGGGGCTCATCTACATGCTCCGATGCATGTAATTGCCCAACTTCATGTGCCATTTCACCAGCAGTAAAAATCCGGCAGGGAAAATGAATGTTAAAAGTAGTTTGTCCTTTGCCAAGATCCCCCCAGTTGAAAGTTTTTTGTTTATCTGTATGCCCTCAAGGACTTTACTGAAACCTTGCTTAATGATGCAAGCTTATGTTTTGGTCCTTAAAAGGACATTTGTTCTAGAAGGTCTAGCCTCTGGCAGAGTTACTGCATTTTGCCGCAGGTGGTTTTTTCTGTATGTGCCAACTGTAGGATGTGGGCATGTAACCCACCACTGGACCTTGAGTCGCTACATCTGGTGGGTGGGTGGACGGATAGACGGATGGACAGCTGGGTGGGCTGACAGGTAGTTTAATTTGCTTTGCCATATGTCTCAGGTGTCAAATTTGCTGACATTTAAGAGGAAGGAAAAGCTGTAATTGCTGTCCTTCCGAGAGGTTTTGGCTAAATCCCACCCAATGATTATGTCGTTGGGCTTCATTCATTCAGCAAAAACCAGTATGTAGTAAGCACTTGGAATGTGCTAGCACACGGGATGGAGATTTGAAGAAAATCAGAACAGTCCTGGCCTTCAAGGAGGTTACTGTCTTATGTGGGAAAAGGCAAGCATTAAAAGGTAATCAAAGAGTTATTTAACTATAGCTATCAGTTTCTTAAAATTGAGATTTCATATTATATACCAATAAAAATCCACCATGTCTCTCTTTTTAAAAATTTTTTAAAAGATTTTATTTATTTATCTTTAGAGGGGAAGGGAAGGAGAGAGGGAGAGAAACATCAATGTACAGTTGCCTTTCGTGCATCCCCTGCTGGGAACTGGCCTGCAACCCAGGCATGTGCCCTGACTGGGAATCAAACCGCGATCGTCTGGTTCGTAGGCCCACGCTCAATCCACTGAGCTACACCAGCCAGGGCCAAAATCCACCATTTCTAAAACAGGTTTTATTTATTTGTTTTAGAGAGACAGGAAGGGAAGGAGAAAGAGAGGGAGAGAGACATCAGTGTGCGAGATACACGGACTGGCTGCCTCTCACACCCCCTACCTGGTGCCTGGCCTGCAACGCCAGGCATGCGCCCTGACCCGAAGCCAAACCAGTAACCTTTCTGTCTGGTGCTCAATCTGCTGAGCCACCCATCCAGGGCAGATTCACCATTTAAAGTACAAAATCCAGTGTTATTTATTTATTTAGGCTTAAACAACAGACATTTATTTCTGACACTTCTGGAGTCTGGGAAGTTTAAAATCAAGCTGCCTGAAGATTTCGATTCTCAGTGATGGCTCTTCCTGACTTGCCTCAGCCCCCTCTCTGATCTCTCCTCATTGGTGGAGAGAGAGAGCTCTCCTTTCTCATTTTCTAAGGACACTAATCCCATCAGGGGGTCTCTATCCTCATAACCTCATTCAACCCTAATTACAGTCCAAAGGCCCCACATCCAAATCCTATCACATGGGGAGCGAGGGCTTCAGCATATGGATTTTGGGAGAACACAAACCTTTTAGGCCATATTATTTTCCTCGTGTCTTTTGTAAGAGTGAAAAGCCTTTCCCAGAAGCAGACTTGGCGTCACGAGTGAAGTTTAGGTAGTACAACCCATTTCTAAACTAGTCAGTGGTAAGAGGTGTAGACGCCCTGGGGTTGGCTTAGACTAGTCAGGATTCGTGGCCCTCCGACTGTCCTAGAAAAGAATGAAATGAGCCTTCTGCTATCCAGGGAGGAGAGTGAACTGGGAGGGCAGTCTCAGTGGGTTTTAGTGTATTCACAGAGTGCTTTTAGTTTTCAACACGGTGCAATGGAATGAAAAATTCAGTCTTTGCTGCTGCTGTTGTTTTGTTGGCATAACCACAGTCTGTGGGTTTGATGGACTCCCAACAGTTTCCGTTACATTGGCATTGCATTGTCTGTGGTCATTCACGGCATAACTGGGGGATAAGGGGGGACATCAGAGAAGCTCAGTTCAGACGTGTCCTCCTGGAAGTTGCTCTAAGGGGACGTCCTTGTGGCCTATACAGGAGGCTCCTGCTCACCCATGGTGGCTCCAGGGAGAACGTCCTTCTCTGCCCCTAACTTGAACTCTCTGGTTCTGGGCAACCTCCACAGCATCTTATGGTTCCATTTCCCTAAGAACGTATCTACCCCCAAAGTTCCCAAGTGAGAGGGGGGAAAAATTCGGGGACTGAAAACCATCAGGATCTACCCCTTGTATTCTAAAGCTACAATATTAGACTCTGTGAGACATGTCAGGGTGCAGCTCAGCTGCCGGTTTCAGGAAGACAAACTGCTCGTGGGTCTTCTTACTTGACTCGAAATGTAAAACACAATTTCAGATGCCCTGGGCCCAAGTCTTTCTCACGCAGCCTGTGTGGGAATTACAGGGATCTGAGTTTGGTTTCTCGCTCTGCCCAGATTGTGCTTTGCCTTCCTGCTTTCCTCTGAAGAGCGGGTAATAGCACAGCGGTCTCCTCGACTGAGTGTTGTGCAGGAGCCAAGCTGGAGAGGGAAAGCTGCTTTGGACCTGAACTACCTCCTACTCATAGCTAAGACCTCAGGAGCTGGTCTGGTCTGCGGACCATCAGCCGTCTGCCCAGAAAGTTCCAGGGGTCACCCCCTTCCCTGGACAGCGCCGATTTCATCGGAAGGTAGTTTTATGACAACCACCCGAACACATTGTTACCAAAGGTGAAGTGCGTCATCTGTAGATACTTCAAGATGATGACAGTCCCAATAATGTCTTTCATTTACATGGTGCGGTGCAAATTGCAGAGCACTTTTCGTATACCTTATCTCAGTAATTCTCATGTTTGCCTTGCGATGCAGGAAGGCCGTGATATATTCCCATAGTTTAAATGAAAAACCCAGAGAAGTGACTTGCCTGTGATGGCAAAGGTGACTCTTGGATCCTCTGTCTTTTCTTTCTGCCTCTTAAAAGCTTGCCTGCACCCTCCACTGCCCTGTTTTGTAATATTTTTCCCTGTTCCTTGGGCCAGTTTCATCCTCTTAGGTGAAAAACCTGCTTGTATAATTGCCGACATTAAAAAAGAATGTCATGAATACATTCGATATCTAATGTTACTCACTAGTCAGTTCCCCTCTGCTTCATAGAATCCTGTGAGTTGGTTAAGCTGCGTTCTATTTTGACTACCAAGCTGGTGATCCTTGGGTTGTCAGCTGCAGCGTTGGCCCGAGGCTGTGATCAGTGACAGAGTTTCGGGAAAGCCTCGGTCTCTTCCCCTTAGAGCACAGGATGGCCACATAGGGCTTCTGGATGCGAACAAACAAGACTCTACAGGACTTGCTTTTGACCATCCTTTGCATCCTCCTTTTAAAGGTACATGACCGATGGCGGGCTTGGCCTCTACACCCGTCGCCTGAATCGGCTCCCTGATGGGATGGCTGTGGTGAGAGAGACCCTGCAGAGAAACACCTCCCTGGGCCTCGGGGACGCCGACAGGTAAGCTTGCCTCACCTGGGCTTGGCCAGGTTCAGAGGGCATTTCACAGTGACCTGCGGAATGAGGGCGGTGATGTTTGGAGGGATGGGTGCTGCTTTAACCATGCAGAGGGAGGTCGGGAGGCCCTGAGGCTGGCTGTGCCTGGGCTTGGCAGCTGGCACAGCAGGAAGGAGACAAGGAGACGGCGCTGAAAGGCTGAGTCCTGCTCTGTGGGAGGTGCTGCTTCGGAGTAGTTTTTGTTGTTGTTTTGACTGTTGCTATGCACCTTTGTCAGTTCAGCAGGCCCCTGAGATCTGCTTGACTTCCCCTGTTAGGCAGCTTTCTAGGTATTGCACCTTGCAACAGAATCCCTGGCGATTCACAGGTCTGTGTGCAGATGGGAGCTCTCCTGGCCTTGGCGGAGCTGGCTTCCCCTTCGGTCTGCTGTTGCTTGGTAATAGGATGCAAGGCTTAGGTGTGGAGGTGGTAGAGCTGAGCAGTTGGGGTTATACTGCTGGACCGGTCTGCATTGCTGCTGCCGTCAGAAATGAAAAGAGCTCCAGAACACACTGCAACAAAGAAAAAGAACATTTAGCATCCAAGTTTCTAGTCCTTGCTCTGACACAAACCGATTCTGTGACCATGAGCAGTCTCTTAAAGAAGAGGTTTGGGCTCTCACGACCCCCAGGACTGCTGCGAGCTCCGATGTGCTGTATTTCTAGATTTCAATGCCCCCTAGTGATCTGTCTGTTGAAGGATTTTTCTGACTTGATTGGCCTCTTTCCACATGTGGGTTCGTGTGACACTGCGTGAATTTGGGTGTGAGGGGTTTGCAATCCCTGTAACTCTCTGGGGGGCTGCACCTCACGTGTTGGAAAACCAGGTGTTTGCAGCCCAAGTCCAGCTTCCTGTTCCCTTAGCAGGGTGCGCTGTTTACAAGGAGGTGGGTGATTTCCATGGTTCTCCGGCTTTGGAGAGATGGGGCAGCCTACTGAAGAGACAGACACTGAAGTTACCCCAGAAGTGGCATTTGCTGAAGAGAAATCTCTCTTCCTGATCTCTCAGGGAGGGCTGGGAAACCTCGGCTGAGGGAGGCAGCACTGAATTGGCTGTCGGGAACTTGGGATCTGGCCCAGGCTCTGCCACTGACTTGAATGCGTCCTTCTCAGAGTCCCCCTGTGTCCAGCGTGGTGATTTATACCGGAGCCGACAAAAGGCTTCCCACTGCTGCGCCAGCTCAAGTCCGTTTTGTTCCTGTAATTAATGTTTTTAAAGTATTGGTTTGAGGATTCCACAGAAAGAAGAACCATTTGAGAACTCTTTCTAAAGCTAAAGCTCTCTATAATGAAAATATTTAGAGGAAATATTATCAGGGGTAAAAAAAAATCAGTTGCTGTAACACCCTCTCTGGAGATGTCACGATGTTGGCCAATTATTTCGCTTGTTTGTGCTCCCCTGTAAACATGTGGTTGGTCAGGAAATTGATCAGCATAAAGTGCAGGCCTTCTGAGGTTCGTTTCCCTTCTTGCAGAAGAAGGATCTGTGCCAGGCAGTTTAATTTAGTGCTTTATTGCAGGGTTAATGGAATTATCACAGATCACAGCTGAGCTTGTTTCTGCTTTTGGAGGTGGAAGCACTGGGTGGGGGCTGGGAAGAAAAGAACCTGATTGTATTTTTTCTAGATCAGCCCACATAGTGGGCCACACACGGACAGCAGTGTCTTCTGGTTCTTCCCCGACGGACGCTGCTCAGACGTGATCATGTAAAACTAAGTGGATGAGAGACCAAATTTTAAAGAAAGAATTCAGGTGGCTTAAAAAAAAAAGGTTTAATAATACTTATAAATTTCCTATTTTATATCAGTTTTGACCTGTAAGCAGTGAGACATTTTGCATTATTCTGGAATAAGTTAAATATCTTTAATCTCAAAAATTATTGTAAATAGACCAAAGAAATGCTTCATCTTTGGCTAAGTTGAAATAGTATTTGATTTGTTTTTATAAGGTTCTTCCTGTAAATCTCCCCCCTAAACTGTACTCAAGTGGGAGGATCACATTAGTCAAATAAGAAATAATTTTAGGCGGTAGACAGAGAAATATTTCTTTTTAACAATTACATTCTAGCCCTGGCCAGGTGGCTCTGTGGGTTGGAGCATCATCCTATATACCGAAAGGTCGTGAGTTCGATCCCCAGCAGGGCACAAGGGGAAGCAACCAGTCGATGTTTCTCTCTCTCTTTCCCTCCCTTCCCTTTCTCAATAAAGCATATCCTTGGGTGAGGATATAAAAATAATTATTTTGGCCTGGCTGGTATAGCTCAGTGGATTGAGCACAGGCCTGTGAAGCAAGGGGTCGCTGGTTCGATTCCCAGTCAGGGCACATGCCTGGGTTGCGGGCCAGGTCCCCAGTGGGGGACACATGAGAGGCAACCACACACTGATGTTTCTCTCCCACGCTTTCTCCTTCCCTTCCCCTCTGTCTAAAAATAAATAAAATATATTTTTAAATCATTTTAATTTTAATATTTTAAAGAGGTAACTATTACATGAGGCCCACGATTTTACAAATATTGCTTAGGGTAAGGATAGTATAGGCTATTTCATGTGAGGTATCAGGAAGGATATCATGGATTGTGTGCGGATATATTATTATTTTTTAAAGGTAGTGTGCAAGTGGCTGGCTGCTGGTCAGCCAATTCTATTCTTGTCCCAATAGTTGGAAATATGTTCTTTAAATAATTAAAAGAGACAAGTGGAAAAATACAGAGAACCCAGAACCTTTCCAGAATCCTTCCCTTTTAACCTGAAAAAAAGAAGGTCCCAGAGCTGAGATATTTCCAGAAAGTTCCTTATAAAAAAGACAGCCGGCCCGTAAGGATTCGCACACAAGCAACAGACAGGTTCTGCACCGGAAGTAGGAGAAGCACTGAGAGATGAGACCCGAGTGGACCTCAGCCACGGGAAGACATGCAGGCGAGTGCACATCCCCTCTCTCTCTGTGCCTGCAGGAGAACCGTTAACCCCGGCGGTGCAGCTCCGGCTCCCACTTCAGCTCCAGGGAACAGCCCAGCAGGACCCCGACCTGCCCCACAGACCCCGACTATTTGCAACAGGTTGTGGCCGGGATCTCTTCAGGGTTATTAAAAGTAACTGATAGCAGTGTGTACCTCCCGAGCCTGGGAAGTAGAGACCATGTCAGCTTGTGAGTCTGTGTGTCACCAGCGGCCTCTGAGAAGTAATAAATGACGATAGTAAACTCAGAATGCCAGGTCTGTCCTTGATCTCCTGTCACTCCTCAGGGCTGCCACCCCTGGGCTCCAGTTTTTACCTGGCAGTCATCAGCGGCTAATTCCAGGCAACGAGAGGCAGCTGGCTGAGAAGGGAGCATCAAAGGGGACAAGTAGAAGTGGCTTATTACAAGACATAGGCCCCAGATAACAGACAAGGAAACGGAACTTTAGCATGGGGGTCTCTGGATGGACAGCCTGGGAAGGAGAAGAAATACGCCCAGGAGGGCCGAGGGGCTGGGATCCCAGACAAGCTGGAACTCCTGCCAGCTGCTCTGTGCACAGCGTCCCCTCTTCACCCATCAGAAGTTCTTGAACTCTGGCAAATTGCATGCTTTCAAAGCTTAAAGCACAGCCCTGGGAAAGTTTCCACTCCGGAGTCCCTTTCTTTGTCCTTGAGAGTCACCACTGTGCTCGTGGTCCTTTCTGTCACCACCCTCGGGCTTCCGCGTGCAGCGCGCACAGGCAGCTGCGTGCCCCGCCGAAATGGCTCCCTCGACACGGAGGAGTCCTTGAGAGCACCTGGAGGGCGGCAGCCGGGCTTGCCGAGGGCGTTCGATCAGGAGGAGGACTTGGAATTACTTGGTACCTTCTCCAGGGGTATCCAGCCTTTTGGTGTCTCTGGGCCACACATTAACTACCTTGTGACACATAGTCACAAAAACATGTCTCATAATGTTTTAGGTAAATTGATGACTCTGTGTTGAGCTGCGTTCATAGCCATCCTGAGCGGCTTGCAGCCTGCGTGCCGGCTGCGGGTTGGACACCCTTGGTAACTAAACCATTAGAATGCGCCCTGCCCTGACCAGTGTGGCTCCTCTGGTTGGACATTGTCCCTCCAGGCAAAAAGTCACCCGTTGGATTCCCTGTCAGAGCACATGCCTGCGTTGCAAGTTCGGTTCCCGGTCCCAGGTCAGGGCCCATGCAGAAGGCAATGAATGGGTCTGGTTCTCTCTCACATCAATGTTTCTCTCCCCTTCTTTTTCCCTCCCTTCCCCTCTCTCTAAAAATAAATACAATCTTTAAAAAAAATTTAAACCATTAGAATTCGTATTGAACTTAAATGCTTTGTATTGATTTAGGCAGTGATAAAGCAAAATAACTAATGCTGCATGGTAAACCACTTGCCTAAGACTTGAACTAAATGTAAACTGCTCGCTAACATGATGCCAAGGAGCTGAGCTGGAAGAAAAAACAGTTTTCCCCCTCGTTACTAGGTTGTCTTTGTCCCCCAAACCCTCAACGTTTTAGATATTGAACCTGCCCTTGCGGTAGGATTCTGTCACTGCGCTGACTCTGCTGTTTGCATTTGGAGCCCTGGCTGTCCCACTTTCGGCTTGAACTGGGAGTCCCACGGGGTGAGGATGTAACCATGCAACCTGGTATTTGACCAGCCTGCCAAGCTGAGTCCCCCTTCTTCGTGGGGAGAGTCACAAGAGCCCAGAGCACCGCTTGGCTTTGTGATCCGTGTGGAACAAGGCGGCCTCCTGGCACCAAGCACTGCATTCACAGATTCAGGCCTGACCTGCAGAGAGGAGTTTAATCCAGGCCAGAGGTGCCCAGCCTGCAGATGGAATTGTTGGGAGCCCTGACCAGGTAGTAGGCCCCCAACCCAGTTATTTGTTAGGCACAGCCTCTGCTGGAATGTGCAGACGACAAGGAGCACCCATGGGAGGAGTGTCTCTGCTTGCCTACCTTCCAGGCCTGTGGTGGGCAGAATGACGCACCCCCTGCCC